TAATATTTTTTCAACTCTATAAACATAATCTTTCTTATTAACAACAGATAGTTCCTCTTCATAAAATTTACCAATTATGGGCTCTCGTTCTAAATCTTCTATCTCATATAAATTCGGGTCTCCTCTAATAACTTTAGTCACTTTAAACAACTCTCCTGTAAAATTTGCTTCATAACCTTTCGTAAATATAGATTTATACTTTGATATTCTAACCATATCACCAATTTTAATCTTAGGTAATGGGAAATAAGCAACTTCATGACCGTATAATGTATTCAATACTTCATCTTCATTATTTTTATTAACATCTTTAGGCTTCATCAAGATTGTACTGTGTTTTGTATTGTTATAATTATATACTAAATCATCTAATATATCAATCCATTTATATGTTCCTTTACTGTAAAAATATTTCCACATAGATGTTTTAAGCGTTCTGTTGAATCGTTCGACAATAGAAGCCTTTTTATCATTTTTAGTAGAGAAGTACTTAATTCCATGTTTTTCTAATAATGATTTGACACCTAAATTATAAAATTCTTTACCATCATCAAATTGAGCTAGTTTCGGGTAATCATTAAATCTATCTTTAAATTGACTTAATAGTTTTGCAACAGCTTTTGTCATATTATTTGTGTCTTTCCTATAAACAGGGGTAGCAAATGCATATCTACTTAATATTTCAATAGCTGTTAATATCCAATAATAACCATTGTTTTTATACTTATAAGAACCCATATCAACTAAATCCATTTGTATTTGTTCACCAAGATAGTTTACCCTTGTTTGTCTGAATTTATGTCTTCTAATAATAGGTTTATATCTAGTGTACGTATCTTGAGATTTTAACCATTTTTTAACTTGTTTTCTACTAACATCTATACCTTCTTGTAATGCTTTCTGATAAAGACGTTCTGCTGATTGATAACCTGTTTTAGGATCATAATAAATATCTCTTAAACTTTGCTCAATTTTAATGTCTTCATCCATTTAAATTACTCAATATAACATTCAAGGAGAATACTGCCTACATTAACAGGGTTCCATCTTGATCTAATATATTAAATATTAGCTCGTTAAAGGCTCCTTTATAATTGTAACTTTAGATTCAATATCATTGTATTCGTATACAGTACCAAATAACGACTGAATTGTTATTACTGGTAAAGTTAAAGCTATATTACTTTTTTTCCTTCAGGGTTATAATTATAACTTGAATTTACAATATTAGAAGAAATTTGAATATAGTTTAACTCTGTTTATATCCACTTTAGAAACACCATTTTGTACGATACCTTTTTCATAGTTTTATAGTATCATTAAAACCTAACATTTTAATAAGAGTATCAGATAATACTAATACCTCATCATTATTATTAGTTATTTTACAAGTTCCGTTTTTTCTACCATCTCAAGCTTTACTTAACAGACTCAAGAAACGTTTTAAGCATTTTAAAAGTCCAGTAACCAGCATCTATATTATATTTTGTTGTGCCTATTGTAAAAGCTAAAGTATTATTTAATTTCACATTTTTATATTCCCAATACACATAAGCTTTTTTAATATATAAATATGAATAGTTAGTTGTTACTATACTTTCTTGTAAGTCAATTTTTCTACTATCTCCGTCTATAAAAATAGTGAACTTCATATATAATATAGCTTATATTATATGTCAGACAAGCAAATCGAAGAAAATTCTATAAAATTAAGCGATGATTCAAAAAATATACAAACATGGCCAAAAATATATTTAGAAACAACTAAAACACCTTTGTTTTCAAATCTAATAGCAGCTGTTAATGGAGATGAAGGTCATAGTCAGGATTATTTCGATCATATGTTACATCGATGGTCCTCAAAGTTTATTGTAAAACCTACATTTCAAAGGCCGGTAAATGTTGATATCTGTAACTTCAGATTATACGTCACAGAGAATGATTATTTTATGAGTAATTTACCACCTATAACAGCCACGTGGACAAGTGAAATTAAAAGTGAAAAAGAACAGCCGACTGGTATAAGATACAATATTAAAAATCATTTAAATTATAAACAAGAAGCTTACTACGCTATGATTTGTGGAGCTTATGTTGCCAGTTTTTTATGTGGTATTGCGCTTAATCATTTAAATTTTGATAAAAGTAGAATTATACAAAGCCTTGTTAAATATCATTTATATTATCAGATCAGGAAATTTATGAAACATCCATCATTATTAGACAAATATGACTTTACGGAATTGAAAAAGCATATACCTTATAAAGGTATTTTAAAATTTGATAAAAACAATGATGGTTATTATGTTAATTTTCAATATTCGACTACTGATTATAAGAGCTTCATTGCATATCATTCTAAAGGTATTACATTAATCGGAAAAATTCTTTTGCAAGAGAGCATTGAAAGTTTTGTTTATACAATTCTAGGCAGCCAAGCCAATACTAGATGGGCAATAGTTAATCATGGAGCTAAGAGCATGCAAACACAAAAAGTTTTTAGGAAATTATTAGATGATACTATAGTACAGAATGATACGACTGTATTTATATCTAACATGAGGAAAGCTATAAAAGACACGAATGTTGTTTTAAATATGGCAATAAGCCTGGTATGATTTTAATACCCAGCCGTATGATAATATTAGATAAAAAGATTGATGGGTATAATAATATTTTAACATTAGCTAATAAAAATATGAAATTCGGTATTAATTCTAAAATAAATTATTATGGAATTAAAAAGGAAGAACCGAAAAAATTGCATCAAGATAATGCACAATCAAAGCACCTAGATACTCTAGATGAAGTTCATAAAAAACCATTAATACATAAACATAAAAAAATGATATTAAATAATCCCCATCAAACAGATATGATTGCTTTACTCAAAGTATACCAAGCATTATCATTAGTATTAATTGAATATGTCTTATAATATAATATGAAGTTCTAGATTTTAATCATATCTCAAGTGTTTGAGTCAAGATGAATTTGAAAAGCTTAAAAATTCATATTTATACTACCAAAAAATGTATACCTGTTATAAATGGAAGTATAAAAAATTAAAAAAAGTGCGACTATCATTAAAGATGGGAACATTTTTCTGAACCACCGTTGGTATTGCTGGTGGTATAAACTGCAAACCCATAGTTATAGGTACCCCTGAGTGCCTAGGTGCTTTAATTCAAGGTTATATTGTTAAGAGTAAGATTAATAATAACTTAGAAATGTGTAAATTCATTATATATCATATGAAAAATACTATGAAATTTTTTGAGGATTAGCCTACATGTAAACGATATTTCTATCAGACAAAGCAATGATTTCAAATTATAATTATCAACTGGACTACCATAGATGGCATGATGAGTAAATACAACAAAAAATATAAAGACCGTGAGTTATCTGTGTTATCTATAAGATT